CAATTGGTAATTTTACTATGGGAAACTTGAAGAACTATAGTGGTTAAAGGAGTAAAACATTGAATATCAAAACTGTTAATAATTATTCAATAAGGGAAGTTAGGAGGGCTCTAACTTCAAATGAAGAGATCTGAATAATTTGAGAGGATATCTGCCAAGGGTGATTATGACCTTTCACTAACACGAAAGAAGGCTAAGTAAACAAAGGCCATCAAGTCACACATATTGGGTATTATTTAAGGAAATGTCTCCTCATGAAGGCAATGATGTATTTAAAAGTGAGACATTTCTTTTATTTGTTCATATTTTAAGTGATTGCCTTGACAGAACTTTGAAGAAAAGAACATTTTCTATCCTACAGATTCAGCAACTGCCCTTAAATGTCTGATCTTGTCTCATTTCCACTAGAAACAACATTGGGATTTTATTCCATGGTGATTTACAAGTCAATGCTAGCTAAATTAATGACATTTGATTGTCACAGAATCTTGCAAGGCAGCCATTCAGTAATTATTTGTCATAATCTTCTGGTGAAGAAATTACTAATACCATTGCTTAATGAATCCTTTGCTTTTTGCCAGTGTACAGTGCTTAAAATCTATCTGTGGTCATGAAGAAAAGACTGTTTGTGCTATTCTTGGCAGGAAGCAAGGAGGCAGTCCCAAGACTCCTTATCTGCTTTTGTGATCAGTCATGGATTTCAAACATTAAGTTCTATGGCAACCCCAAGGGTCTTGTTGCTCCAAAGTCCAGCTGAATAATAGGATGATTATGTGTGATACATTTTTAATGTGCTATTCTAATCTCCAGAGATAGAAGTTAATAAATAACAAATTGGTCCAATTATAAAATTTCCCCTTCCAAAAAATATTTTGAACTTATTTAATATTCACTTGGAAGGCATATACAATATTCAAACTCAAAAATCATAAATGTGCTTTGCTAATTGTAAGAAAAATGCTATGTGATATAAATGAATACTCTGTACTTGGGCTAAAGGCAGTTGTTAGAAGATTTTTTTCAGCATTTTTGAACATCTCCCACTGGTTCTCTGCTCCTCCACTTTTAAGAGCCAATGGGCTCAATCAACTCTTTGAGCCTTCTTTGTCTATGTATATGAGGTAAAAAATTTTCTAGCTATACTATCAAGATGAGTGTAGTTATTGCTAAAGAAATGATACTATGATAACCATTATAGAATGCTTCTTTTATGTATTTTTTGTCCAAATGACTTGGTCATTATCAATTTAAACATTTTTCCTCACAGCAGTTCTATGATTTAGGTAGCATTATTTTTAACATCACCATTACACAGAGAAGGCAATTGGGGTACAAGATGTTGAATGACTTGCCCAAGACTACTCAACTGACAAAGGAGGAGCAATGACAAAGGAGGTTGAAACAGGTAGTCTGACTCCGGAGTCTGGGCTGTGGTCTCAGCTGCCTCTGCAAGCCATGCTACTAATATAGGACATAATCCTGGAATGAGGTCCATATTGATAACATTGAAGCCTCATACTTTGTCCTCTTCCCCCAGTGAGACTTCCGGTAGGATGCACATGTCCCTGTTTGAAGACTATTTTGAAGGAGTCTTGCAAGGGAAAAATCAACTGCAGCCCTTGGTGGGCTTAATGTCCTTTGCTGTGGTTACAGTTAAGGTGGACGGTGGTGGCTGTAATTGAAGAGTCTTCCTCAAGTTGTTCTGTCTCTGTTTCTTTGGGTCACTTCCCTCCCCATCTCCTTGAGACCCAGCCAGGCTGAAGGGGGCTCACCTGGCATCATCACATCCCTCTGTCTCTCATCCACACACACACCCCACACTCAGAGTTCTCCTGTCCTGCTTTACTTTTCTCTCCAGGACTCTTGCCAGACATTATTCCTATTTTTGTTGCCTCTCATTCATCTTAAAAGTAAACTTCATGAAGCCAGAAGTTTTGTCTGAATTATTGACTGTTATATTCCCTGTGGCATAGCAGTGATTGGCTAATGGGAGACACTTAGAACTACTGAGTGAATGAGTGAATAAATTATTTCTCTGGGATTAGTCAAATATAATGATTTCAAACCAATAAAAGTAAGAATATAAGACAAGGTGACTTATCTTAGTCAAATTCAAAGTATTAATAGTTTAAAATCCACTGTACATTTTCCACCAAGGGTAACCAGACAGTTGTACAAGAACAAGTCCCTTGTACAGTTGACAAAATGAATTAGGTGACTCCAAAATAAACCTCCTTTTGCTCAATAAACCATTTGTCTTTCAGATAATCTAGTTTGTCTTAGGGGATATAGTCTTTAGGTCTTAATAAGAAAATACCAGCCCACACCACAGCATGGTTTATTTGGTATTGTAAGAAAAATTGAAATCGAAATTTGAAATAATCATAACAACTGTTATTTGGCCAATTCATCCACTGGTATAGTCAGAGCCTGGCCCAAAACTTCTGTATAAAGTTCTCAGGGGCTGCCTGGGGCTTTGTCTAAGGAGCTTGTATGCAAGCTTCCTTTCATGGCAACTTTCACAAGAAGCCAACAGTTTTCTCTTTAAAGTGCGGAGGAGCTAACAGATTAAAGTACCATATGAGTACTCTGAATACTGATGAAATGTGCCATGGGGAAGAATGTTATTTTCAAGTTATATCAGTATATTTCAGATTTGTCATAATTGGAACTGCTTTTAAGCAAAATTGTAGAAGTTCCCCAAGCCTCCTTTTTACCTACACAGAAAATACAGCATCTGGAAATTTCAGTCTTTTATTTTCTGAAGGGTGACTTGACGGTGTGAATCTCTATCCAGATCAGGAGTCCAGAGGACACAGACCTGGCCCTCTCTAAGTAAGATTGGCAGTAGGTAGCACAAATTGTGAACTGAGCTAACAGAAGGGTAGTGGTTTGGGTTTCATTAAAGTAATGCTATGGCTGGTAAGGATGACATGTCAGATGTTTTATTTTAAAAACCAAACCATTTCAATAAATCATTTTTACAATTTTAAATACATTATATGGGAATAATACCAGTAGATGATATGTTTAAATGTGACACATCCTTTTGCTCCACTGCATCCTGTGTTTTATTGCATCCTTGTTTTATTTCCCTGAGATGTATTTATCAGATTATTTTTATGAGCTGACCCACATTTTAGTTTTCTTTATGCAGTCTTATTTACTGTTGCTATTACGCTTCTTTTATTGTTCCTTTTACATTTAGATTCAACCCACATGAATATTATCATAATATTGTTTCCTTTTGCACAAGCAAAAGAAGTCTCATCTTTTTTTTTTTTTTTTTGGTACGGAGGAGGATCGAACTCGGATCCTTGCTCTTGTACAGCAAGCGGCAAAACCACTGAGCTAAATCCCTGGCCCAGGAGTCTCATCTTTTAAATACCTTTGTCAGTGTAGTACAGTGAGAAGACAATATTCAGGATGCACTTGAGGCTCTTTAGCATAAGCAGGTCATCTGAAACAGCTGCATTATGTAAGATAATGTGTTGTATTTTAGAACATTTAAGGTTGAATCTCTTTACTGTGTGAATGCTGTACTGTTTTCTTCTCTCCCCTAACTCCCCCCTGTTCAACAGCAGACAAACCCGGGGAGCACTGAGTGAATCCGAAGACCCCGAAACAGGCTGTCTAACTGATAACAAGCCAACTTCTCGACACTTCTATCCTGTCGCCTTGCTACTTGTCAGCTCACACCTGCTAGTTGTGTGGCTTATTTTAAGTCTTGCATTGCTATTAGCCAAATACCAATAATTTTTATGTTGTGTTCCTTTCTTTTCTACCAATGACAATGGACTTTAAATTATGGGGGGAATGCTGTAATATTTCTACATTTTTCAAATTCACAGAATTAAAAAAAAAGAAGTTTGAATTGTGTTTTTGTTTTTCCTAAAAACTAAAAAACAAAACGTACTATGCATTCAGTGAATTATTTTGCTCTTTTGTTCATAGAAAAGTTTTCCCTCTGTGAATTAGCTCAAGAAGAATTTTTAAGTTACTGTGTTTGGACTAAAACAAAGACCAGAATCCTGAAAGCTTGAAGTTCTGAGCCTCCTGTTCCTCTTCCCATTAAATGTATGAAAGAAATTAAGATTGAATTTGCGCAAGTCCCTGAAACCCTGAGATGAATCCTAAGGACATGGGAGGTTACAGACTTTGTTTCCACTGTGCTAATAACATAGTTGCCATCAGTTGATACAAACTTCTGTTTGGTTCTTTAAATTAACTTGTTTGTTATTTTATTTCTTTGCTGTTCTTTACCCTTCTCTGTCGAATAACTTTATGGAGAGAATGCCTATTTATGTTTTGTAATTAAATTAACCTGTTTGTAACTATGGTTTGGGTTAATTTGGCCTTCAGAGTACTTTTCTGTTCTTTTTAACAAGGTCTCCTCTGTGTCATGATGCGTTGATTTTAGCACCTGTGACTTTTGTACTGTCCTTTCTTCCCTTACAAGCATTCTTCCTTTACAAAGCTGAGACTTGGACCAGGCTATTCAGAAAGCCATTTCCTCTCTTTGTTGCACAGCTAAAATAATGAAATGAAATAGAGATGAAACTTTCCTTTAAAAATCTATAGGGCCAGACTTAATAAATTAAATGCCTTACTCCTAGAACCTACATCCTTAGGGCTACATATAGATTTTAATGTGTTTTAAAGACTATGAAATTAATTTGTGGAAAAGTTATAGAAGGCAGATATATTTATGAAATTAAAGTGAAACTGTATTGTGGAGCAAATTATATTTAAAGAGTTTATTTAACCTTAAATGTCTGTGAGGAACAAAGAGACTTTAATGATCTCTTTCCGAAGGCAATAATGGTATTGGGCCTGGCCTAGGATTTAATTTTGTAAGATGTATCATCATTTGTGGAAAAAAATGTAGAGTTGAATCTTTGTTATTTTTACTTGGACTGTTGCTGCAACTCTGCATTGAACAAATAAAACATATTTATTTATTCTGTGTTTCATGAAGTTGTACTTTTTCCCTTCACCAGAGAAGGATGCCGCATAGAGAATGTACTGAAGAATATCAAATGCAGAAAGTATGCTTTCAACATGCTACAGCTGATGGCATTCCCCAAGTACTACAGACCTCCAGAGGGCACTTATGGAAAAGCTGACACCTAACTCTCCAACATGTAAATAAACAGGAACACAAATATGTTTCATTTGGAGAACATCCATTTTGGTCTTTTTTTACTTTTTTCATGGTTGCGAATTTGGGCGGGGTGCTCATGGTTGTTTAACCAAATCTAGGAATTACTTGATATTTTACATCAGACTGCTCATAAGGAAATTCATTTTTAAAATCTTATAAAAGATTGTCATTTCTAATTCTAAGTTACTATGTGCTGATTCTCTGTGGTTTCATTTTAGAAAGGGTCAGTCCCATCCGTGAAATATTTATATGAATGTCACACTAAGAAAACATGATCAGAGATGAGGCCTTCCCTACAAAATGAAGGGAAGAGAGTTCACCAAATCACAGCCTTGATCACAGACAATCTTAGAGCCTATTTGTGGGATTTGTGAAATATTTATTTAACAAATTGAAACCAGGTAAAGTTAACTGATGACACTGACTTCTGAAGCAGGGTGCAGGGATGCTTGGAAAGACCTTTGTTGTTCTGTCCAGATGTGACTCCACCTCTAAATATATTTCAAAACCATGATATCTTTTCAAAACTCTGCCTGGGATTGTGTGACCCAGCTGTGCAAGTGGCAGAACAGAAAGTTCAATGTACAAAAAGTACAATGCACAAAACACTGTGAGGAACTGAATTTACGAGGCCATGGAAGGAGGACAGTCTGTAGTTGCCCCAAATGAGATCTCCATCACTTGAACTTTATGCAGTGAAGTTCGTGAAAGTAGGATGTTTTAAGATGTTTTCTAGCAGTCCCCTTTGCGTAAGTATGCAGTCTAGCATAGGTTGGTATGCACAAATAAATCTTTAAGATATATGCAACCATATCTATTGATGACACAATAATTTCTGTTTGCCTGAATTTTTAATTTGTCCTTTCTCAGAAAAATCATATCATTTATAAGTTTTCTAAAATTATGAATCAGTAGTTTCCTTAGAGATCATCTTGATTAATATTATTCCAAAAATGGGTAAATTTAGGCTGATCACCTGGTTAGAAAGTGCAGAATGATTAAAATCTCTTCTCACTCTACTTACTGTAGTAAGAAGGCTTGCCCATCTCCAAATTGTTATGTTGAATATGTATGAAAATTAAGGGAGAAAACTAGTAAGTTTAAAAAGAAATTAGGATTTTTTTCACTGAAATTGAAGTTCAGAGTATGAGTCTGAACAAATGAGACCTATTTTTCCCAAATGTTAAGAACTTATTCTTTCTCCTTTTTCTTCGGGGGCCTGTGCTATCTAGAGCATAACTTCTTTGGAAGTTCTGGATGCTACAACCAAGAGATATTGGTGGTATTAGGAGACTTTCCATAGCAAATGTGATAGTTCCTTGCCTAAAATGCCTGTTGTAATAAGGATTTCAAAGAGATCTCTAGCACCATGTTGACCTTTTCAAATTTGATGCTACAAATTTAAGATAACCTTTTGTGGACTCTTGCACTAGAATTATCAATCGATTATTTCAGCTAATGACATATGTGTATTATTGAAGCAGTTGCCAAACTCTTTACAGCCTTTTTAATAAAAACAGGCTGTACATTTGGGATCTATTTATGGAAAAATTATCTTGGTATTCTAAGCTCTACCTCATTCTTCATTTCAGTGATTAAATATAATCTTTGAATTGTTTGATTTTATTTTAAAATGGTAGGGTTTGTGGTTATATTAATTATCTCTTTTGATTTAAGATAAAGAGTTTGGGATGACAGAGGTCTCCTTGAAAAGTTATGAGGCTTCTTGTAATATATCGAATAGAATCCTCAGTTGCAAGAGATCAATCTCAAGTGATTTATCACCATATAAGTATTTTATCAACAGCTATTTTGTTTATATTTTTAAAAGCAAAACTTCAACTCAAATTTAGAAAAAATAATTATTAGCTAGAAAATAAACAACAGTAGGGTTTTTAGAAGACATTTTAGAAGACATTTCATAGATTCTTGACTTTTTTTTTTCAAATAAATACTAAGAAGTCTCAAAGGGTGAAGCTTACTGCGTATAAATGCATGTGAATTTTCATTCATTATTAGCATAATCACCAGCATTTCCTTATAACAAGTCTATATTGTTTATACTTCTAAGAGTAGATTTCACCAAGAAAATTCACGTTTCATACACAACATTTTTGTTCTTTTCCTGAGATACACTTCAAATATCCTTGGACAGCCACTTCACTATTTCTGATTATAAAGGTTTCTGAATCAAATGTTGAACAAATTTTATAGTCTCTCTTGTGTAAATACAGCCACAGTCATGCTTTTCTGTCTACATTTTCATTTTTAAAATATGTAAGCATATTTGCAGAGATCATTTTGAGCCAAAAAATGAACCAAGAAAATGATAGTTCCAAACAGTATAGTTTATTTCACTTCATTTTTCCCCTCAAATATGTCTTTTCCTTCTACCAGCACCAAGTGCAGGTAGCAATTCTGCATTTACACCACCTGGGTGGTGGTAGTGGGGTAATTAAAGACATTGAAAGGCGTCACCCTGATTATGATTGACCCAATGACAAAAGGTTCGTGCCTGGGAAACATTCCCCCAAACAGTTACCAATATAATTTTGAAAAACTTGATTGAAGCAGACTCATACTTATGTGCCATGTTTTGTTTATTTCTCATGAGGTGAGTTCTTTTTTCTTATAAATATAACCTCCAGTTTTATCTACATGCTGCCCAACTTTTTGCTGCAGATTGTTTGGTCAGTTCCATAATCCAGTATATCACAGAAACCATTTGATCCAGGTGATTAAAGATATTTTAATATCCACCACCCCATTTAGGCCAGTAGTCCATGTCATTAATTGCCAATTATTTATTTGTAAGACTAAAACCTCTTCTGAAAAACTATGAACACTTAAAAGCTACTACTGGGTAGAGAACACTTCCCTGTTTACCCCCTAAGTAAAATAAGACAGGTGGAAAAGGAAAAACGAAAAGAAAAGAGGATATTTGTGCAGAGTTATGCTTTTCTTCCCAAGCAAACCAAATCATCCCTATGTAAAGGCTGATGCTGCGTAAAGAGGGATGATTGCAATGGTATGGTGGAACTTGTCTTGCTGACTCATGAAAGCTGATCTTTAAATTTTCAAGAGCTTTGTTAGCTGCTTGTTATACACTAACATGATCAAATATTAAATTATGAAATACAGTAAGATGGATTTTATGAAAAGTAAAGGTGATGAGCAAAGATTACCACTTTCTAGTCATTTTACTAAATTTTAGTGTTTACTCATGTCCTGCAGTGTAGTTGTGTCTTTTATATTTTACCATATATCATTGATGCTACAGTGCTACCATGAAGATCTTCTTCCTATTTCCACATTCAGGAATATCACATCATAGCTTGAAATCTGCATCTGTGGGAAATGCAAATGCTGCAAATTACCACGTGTAATTCCTGAAAATCCAGTTGTTAACATTTACCACCATAGAGCTGAATTCCACCATCACATTTTCTCCCCAAAATAACAAATCATTGGAAGCAGGATTATTAAAATTATTTTCAAAATAATCAGTCATTTTCAAATGGCTATCGGTTTTGTTTGTGTGTTTACCCTCTCATGGACTCCTAGCAGGCAGCAGGCATATTAAATGTTTGACATTGTATTCATAATTAAATTATTATATTATGGAGATTAATTTAAAAACCTGTCTCTAAGTGACATGTTGCAAGAAGAATCTTAGCAATGCAGTCTTAGTATAAGCAATAACACAAGACTAAATTCAGGGAAATGTTAACCTAATCAATGTATGACTGAAAATGTGCTTTAGCATCAATTTTGAAGCTTATAATTTTGGCATTTTCTAAATGTAGGAAGAATAGTAACATATTACTATGCTCAGATTCTAATAAATATAGCTCAATTGAAAAACACCACAGATGTTGTTCATGTTTGATTTCCAAGCAGTATGGTGTATCATTTTACTTTAATGTACAGGACACATTTGTAATCTTTTAGGAAATAGATTAACTTTCACCACAGATCAAAGAATTTGGTTGGAGAGAAGTTGTGATCAGCATTTATGGAAGGAAGCAAACATACTGAGCACAAAACATGGCTAAAAGTTGGAAGCTTTACAAATTATGCATTACTGAAAAGAATAATTTGCTAAGAATTTGTGTAGCTGATTTGACAATTTTAGCATAAATTCACATTCATATCTCCCAGCTGCAATCTGCATAAGCTGCTACACTTTTACCATCATATTTATGTTTTGTAGTTTTGTAAGTTCTCGATGTATTGCATCTTTTGTTTCCCTGACAGTTTGAAGTTAGAACTTTATACTCACACATATGCCGTTTATAGCAAAACTTCCTTTAAAAATAGGAGAATAAATAATGTTTTAGATAAAATATTACAGGCCAAATAGGTAAAGATTTGAAGAATAGAAATTTGCATTTTTTATTTCCCCTGGTACACACATTTATTGTTCTTTGAAATTTATTTTTAAGCAAATAAGACAGCCTAAAACATTTCTGATTTATAAGAAAATATCATGTCTCACCATTAGTAACAAAAAGAAAGGAAAAATTTATAAGATAATATTAACACAAGGGCCAGGGATTTAGCTCAGTGGTTCCGCCCCCTGCCTCACAAGCATAAGGTCCTGAGTTCAATCCCTGGTAACAACAACAAAAAAAGAGATAATATTAACACAATAAGGTACATGCAATTAGGCTTGCTGAGCTTAAGTTGTTCAAGCATACTTAGAATTTTAAATTATAAAACGAAAACAAGCTTACAATTGAGGTACCCCAAGAGCATGAATATCAGGGAAAAGAAGAAATGATCTTGCCTGATAAACCTTATATAATAGTATATATACAAGTAAAATATATCTTTTTTGGGGAGTATTGGGGATTGAACTCAGGATCTTCTGCTTCCGAGGCAGGCGGCAGCACCACTGAGCTAAATCCCCTGACCCTAAAATATATCTTTTTAATAAATACAACTACTTAGAAAGAAGGGCTTGCCCCTTCACACTCATAGTATGAATGTTTTTACAATATTCCTAAAATCATCTAAATTATTTCCAGGTCATAAAAGGGCATGATCTGGGCCGGGGATTTAGCTCAGTGTTTCTGTCGCCTGCCTCGCAAGTGCAAGGTCCTGAGTTCGATCGCTGGTACCAAAAGCAAAAAAAAGGGCATGATCCAACAACCCATCTTTAATGATCATTATTTATATAATTCTTGAGATGCTTTTATATCACTCTCAACATTAGGAAATATCTCATATTAAAATATTTCATATTTCCAAAAGACAGAGTACATGTGCCTATAGCTGTGTGGACACTCATTTCACTGCACACATACAAACCTTTGTACAAATAGCTTCTTATATAACAATTTTATTATTTCATTTAACTAACATTGAATTTTCAGATTTTTGTGGTACTCATCCAAAAGGTTGACTTTTGTTTTCTTTTTATGCTATGTATATTCTGGAATAACCAATAATGTGTACTTCCAGGAAATGGGCCACAGATAGATTAGATCATTGGCACTTGAAGAAATATCATTTTTGTTTTATTGTTCTGTGTAAACCATATCCATTGTACACTGTGTGTATATTTTTCTTTAAATAAATATGATTTTATTTTTTATGTGTATGTCTCTCCATATTATGCAGTTATTTTCATTTTCATCAATCTAATTTAAACATTAATTAAAATATCAGAAGTGTAACTTAATATATCAGAAAGAATATATTGATTTCTGATGAACACAATCAAAGTTCCAATTTTACATCCATACTAGGTCAGTTTCTTTTCCACTGGCACAAGGTACTTTCTAGCATTGTTCTGTGGAGATAAATTCAACTGCAACTTTCAAAAAAAAAAAAATCAAGAACCGGGTATTAGTGCTCCGACAATGAGAAAGTCATTGATCTTTCTTGTCAAGTTTGTACGTAAAGTTATTTGAATGCAGCAAGATAATTTTTCCTTGTGGACTGCTTAGATCTGATCATGTATGATTCATTAGAAGAGTTCATTGTAGAAGGCAAATTCCAAACAATCGTAATGAGATCTTATTGCAAAGCGTTAAGTAAGTGAGTCCCCAGTGCATGTGTAATGTCCTAACCTGTCTTTCTAGAGCTGAACAGGAAAGATGCGGGAGATGGTCCCAATGTGAAAGGATACACACTGACTTAGAGCAAATGCTGCCCACAATTGAAGCAGAGGGGGCAGAGTGAACGAAGTATTAGTGCTGTTATCTTAAACAGCCACGCGAGGGCTCCTTGAGTGTTAGAAGACAGTGACTTTCTCACTCAAAATCAGAACAGGACAAGGGACTCAGAAAGTTTGTTCTGGAGCTATATTTGGTTTCACCAGAGAAAGAATTCAAAAGGGTAAGTGGATAGAATTGGAGATTGTCCAGCCAATGGCTGTTCTGAGTCAAAGTAGCCACATGAGCATGATTCTCTGGTTTTTTCCACTCTGTCCATATAAAACAACAAGCACCGAGCTATCTGTTCTCTCAGTGATTTTGATGAATAACCATGATTTGAAGACAATTCTTTTAATAAATTTTAAGTCAAAAAAGGAAGAGACGAGAGGAAACCACATTTAGATAGAACACCAGGAACATGGTATTACACTGTTAAAAGTTATACTCCATCTTCTAATCTAATCCATATCACTTTATTTTTCTCCATAGTCCCTACCTAGTTTTAAAATTTAGTAAGATCAGTGACAATAGTAGCCTTTCTCATTTAGGATGATGACTTCCTTTTTCTTCATACAACTGACTGTAAACCACTGCTGCTCTGATAGCTCACTCCTGACACTGAGTCCGAGGCATACTTCTAACACTCCCCATTCTTTTCCAACCATTATATTTTCCACTACTCCCTCTGCTTCCTTTATACATTTCTTGCATTTAAGAATTGCCCAGAAGATTAGGATTGGTATTCTCCTTAGCTTAGGCACCATGCTCTATCTTGAGGTCTACAACTATTATTCCTAAGGGGAAATTCCAGCACAGGGCTAAGGAATGCGGGTTTTGAGTCAGTATGCCAGCAAATAAATCTCAGTTCCCCTACTTATGATGTGTGCACATATGCCAAGTTATCAGTATTTCTATGTCTTCACATTCTGATCTATACCACGGGGGCAATCATTTGATTTCCTATTTCTTGGTAAAAAGTTAAGTGACAAAAGATATGTATCATCTTTTGTCCAGTGCCTTGTGTGCAAAAGATTCACTTTCTTGCTGGTACTCGGCAAAAGTCTCACTATATTTTTTACTAATGCAGCTCCAGTACTCAAAATAGAAGAACTAGAACTCCAAAGACTACGTCTCCCTTATATGCATCTTCTGTTACTCCTATAATTATACTTCCATCCAAACTAAGTGAAGTCCAATAATTAATGAATTCTAAAGTTTGGTTCAGTGTCTTTCTTAAGGTTTATTTTCTTTCCATTCCTTGTAGTTTTGTCCCCAATAAAAATACACAGTAGGAGTCTGTGGGCACGGTGAATATCCGTTACATACATATGCATGTGGATACGTATACACACACACACACACACACACACACACACACACACGTATCTCTTTCAAGTTTTCTCCTGAACTCTTTCCTTTTGTCCCAGCATCCTCAAAATATTCAAGGTTAAGCTCATATGCCCTTTATTCCAAATTGATCATCCTATATCACTGTAAATGAAACTGATCTTCTTTATTATATTTCTATATTACACCTGACATAATTCATTCATTTATTTGTTCTCTTATTCAGCAGATGGTTTTGAGCATCTGTGTAGTTAGTATTGAGTTAGTTCCAGGGCATTCAGGGATAGATGAGAGGTATGGTTCTTTTATTCATGGACGTTACAGTCCAGTCTATTGAGGGAAGCAAACAAAAAGAAAAGTAACTAAATGACAAATAATTATTCATTATCATGTATGATATGAGGTAAATTATCTAGGAGTTTTGACAGAGTCTCAGTGTTGGTCAGGAGTTACTTGCTCTGACAGGGTGGTCAGAACTAATCTCTCTGAGGAGATATAATTTAGATGACCTATAAGGAAAGAATCCAATCTAAAGAAGGGAGGGCCTCACAGAGGGACACTGGTGGGGTGCACTGGATGGGCCCTATGCATAGTAGGAGGCTGGGAAAGAGGTGAAAGTAGAGTTACCAAAATCTCTTAGATCATAAAAATGAATTCATAATTTACTTGATGTGCAGTAGGAAGCAAGGGCAAAGTTCCAAGAAGGGAACTAAGTGATGTAGTTTATGTTTTTAAAATATCATTCTAGGTACTGTGCAGATAATGCATTATAGGGAATCAAAACTAAAAGTGGTGAGGAAGTTGGAAGAGTATTGCAATACAGTGAGAGACAGCACTGGCTTGGACTGGGGTTGAAACAGTACCAATGAAGAGCAGAAGGAAGATTGTCAGAAAGCTCGGAGAGTAAGAGAGGAAAGTCTTGTTGATGTGTGGGAGCTGGGCTTGGTGAGAGGAAGCAGATATTTAAGTTGAATTTTATTTCCCTGACTAGAGTGAGAAAATGTGGTAGTGACATGTAAAAGTATTAACTCAATTATTTGGGTTTGGCCCTAAGTAGGCTCGGCCACCTCTGACTCATGCTATCCAAGCAGAAAGTCAAGCATATTCATCACTGTGAATCTCGAGTGCAGAGTAGACACTAAAGGGAGAGTAATAATGTGCACTGGTCAGCGTGTGTCCGTGATTAAAACCACTTCAATAGTACACCACTTGATCAAAAAGTACAAAATCTTAAACTGCTTGAACAAAAGGGCAATTATTGACTCATAAGCTGAAAAGTAACAAGAGTTGAGCTTTAGGTGCATCAGCTTCAGGATGTCTAAATGAAAGTATCAGTTTTCTCTCTTTGTCACTCTCTCTTTCTACCTCTCTGTCATCTCCTGATGTCCATCCCTTCCCTTTGTCTGTGAGAGAGACACAGAGAAAGAGAGAGAGAGAGAGAGAGAGAGAGAGAGAGAGAGAGAGAGAGAGAGAGAGAGGATCTTTGGTTGCACCTTCCTGACTGGCTCTATATGCTGCATTGAATCAAAATGTGTGCATTTCAGTCATTTCGACTTCAGAGAAGACCAGAAGTCACATGATGCCAGCTCTGGTGAATAAGGTGATGATGACTCTCATGATGTTTTTCAAACCTGCATTCAGTAGCAGCCTTCACCATGTTTCCTGTCACGCTTCATTAGGACACAACAGAGGACTTCCACACCTGCTTCAGAAAGTGGCATTAATGATCAGATAGTCCTCCCAAGCAAGGAGGACTCTTTTGAGGGGGGTTAATGGCAATGTGTCCTTTATTGTCATCGTTTTTTTCTCAGTTTAAACATTCACTCTGTTTTTATCACCCCTTTTAGGTCTATAAACCTTGTTGTGTGGGTTTCAATTTTACCTGTGTTTTCCAAGGTCTTAGTGTCATTTTTCAGAAAGTCCCTGCCACTTCAGGCTTATACAGGAGTTTCAGTTCGTGTCTCCCTTGGAAAAAAGAATTTTTTTCAGAAACAAGATGGATCCCTAGATAGACTCTGCTCTGCACCATGACCTGGAAGGACCCTCTCCCGAGTCAGCCTTGGCCGCCTCTCTCCCGCTCTGTGGCCTGTGAAGTGGGGCACATGGAGCGACAGCTCTGGATCAGGATACTTGACTGTGAAGCTGCATTTTATTTAGGGTTATATTCTAACATTGACTAACAAGAGGAAAATGAAAGTAATCTCACTGTGAAATGAATGTGACTGAGAAAACGACCATAACACTACCATGAGAGACAGGAGATCTAATGGTGTCTTGTTTTCCTCTAACCATGAATCAGTCAATGAGCTCTTCTTTTCCACTTTCTAATGTGTAACCTAAAGATAGTGTAATGCTCCAGGAACAAATAGTGAATCCACTTCAATTCAAGGATTTTCTAAAACAAACACTGCCTCTAAAATATGCTTTGATTTCAGAGGTCTTGTCATATTACTAGGGCAAAGTATTAGCTTGAGTTTTATAAAGAAAAATAAAATATAATATAAATGTCCCTTTACCTTTTCATTTAATGGTTTTAAGTTAGAAATATACTCTAAGATAATATTTGCTGTCTCTCATGACACATTGTACAACTTGCCATTTACTCAATGAGTTATTTAATTGTTGAATGTGGGGAAAGACTGCATATTCGTAATTTTTTAAATTCAGTGAAAACTCCATAAACTAAAAGAATACGTGAGTTTAACAAAGTTGCAGAACACAATACCAATATATAAATACATATATACAAAAATCAGTTGTATTTTACTTTTTCTACCAAAAATCATTTGAAAATTTGAAAGAAAGACAAAAGTACCATTTATAAACATGCGAAAGTAAATCAGGGAAGAAAATGATAGTTTTCAAAATAAATCTAACTGGAAAAATTTGATGTTTATTTACAAATAATAAACACCCACTAATACTTCATATCTTATAAAACAATTCACTCAAAATTTAAATGTAAAACACAAAACTATAAAACTTCTAGAAGAAAACATAAGATATACATGGATATTGAATAAGGGGAAGATATACCATTATCAAAGATAAGATATCATATATGTGTTGCATCAAAACTCACCAAATT